GTCATTATTATGCTAACTTCTCTAAAACCAGAACTAATGATTATTTTTAATGGTTGAGTCCTACAACTCTAATAAACTTTTTTGTATGCTTCTTTTATTGTTATTCTTTGTAGTTTTATTTTTTTAAAAAGTACTTTAAACTATATAAATAATATAAAATTAAATTGATTTAAACAGTCAATCATAAGAAAGTCTTTCTATAGTACTGGAATTGTAAAAGTTTTGGCCAGTATCAATTGTATCGTTTGATAATTCTACCATCTGGTATTGAAATGATGAAAAAACTATATAAAATTAATGCGTGTTCAATGTTACTAAACAATTACATAAATTTTAATTTATAAGACTTACCGCACACAATAATTATATAATTTGACAACTAATTATTTGTCAAGTTCTTTTTTTCAGACAGAGCTAAATAACTGTTAATTAAAATTTTCAAATATAAATATGATTTGTTAAAGTTTTTTTTTTACTATTAACAAGTAAATCATGACACTTTTGGATAAGAAATGTGGAGACATCATAGCAGCTCGAAAATTGGAAAAATCGTATAGGCAAATTGCCAATCTTGTTAGTTGTAATCCCAAGACTGTTGGAAATGTGCTAAAATGACATAACAACCCATCTCTAAAATTACCAGATCATTGAGAAAAACCACCAATTTTAGATGAATCAGCATGCAATCGCTTAACACAACTTGTTCTAAGTAATCACTGTATGACTAAAAAAAAAATTCAAAATGAATTGGAACAATAAGAGGGCAAAGTAATAATAAAATTTTTTAATATTAATTTTATTTATTTATTTATTGTTAATTTATTTATTTTGTTATTTTTAATTTATTTTTTTTATCTTTAAATTATATTGTATTACAGGAAATTTTGCAAAGAACTATTAGTCACACTCTTTGTAAAGCTAATCTGTTCGCACATGTTGCCGTTCAAAACCTTTTATTAATGCTAATGCTAAAGAAGAACATTGGAAGTGGGCTGAAAAGCATCTTTACTGGACAGTTGATGACTAGAAAAATGTTTTCTGGTCGGATGAGAAATTTTTTACTTTAATTTCTTCTAATTTACATCAATATGTATGGAGACAGCCTGGAGAAGAGTTTGATGATGATTGGCTTGTTCCAGCAATCAAATCTAAAGAGATTATAGTGTGGGGCTGTTTTTCTTGGTAGGGTCTTAGTCCTCTTGTTCGTCTTTATAGCAGTATCACAAGTGTATTCTATCGTAGGACGCTTAGTTGTTATACTATTTATAAGCTTCAAGACCAATACCCTAATAGTAATAGGGTATTTCAACATGATGGCACCTCGGTCCACAGGGTAAGATAGTTAAAAGATATCTAGCTAATAAGAATATTGAACTATTAAAATAGCCTCCCTATAGTTCGGATCTTAGTCCAATTGAGAATCTTTGGTCCGAGGTTGAAGGAAAGCTTTGAAAACGTCATCCAAGACCCAGCAACCTTAAAGAACTTGAAAGGATGGTTAAAGAAGAATGGGAAGCATTATCTCAACATTATTATAAACATCTTGTTGAAAGCGAAGTTGACCGTGTCATGGAGGTATATAATAATAATGGTGGTCATTCCTATTATTAATTTTTGGGTGGTAATTAGGGTATAATTGATATTTGCTAAGTTAGTATAAAGAACATTTGCTAAATAAATATATCAATTATTTGTTAAGTTTTAAAAAATAATCTATTCAAGTTCATGAATTTTCATTTTAATTTTTATTTTATTCATGCTATTTGGATTAGTAAGTATATTCCTATGATTCTGTAATAAAAATTGGTATGCATGATATGTTATACATAGAGTAACGGTTAATAAAAACCTAAATAAAAAAAAGGGTTAGTCACATATCAAAAAAATAAAATAAAATAAAATAAAATAAATAAATAAAAAATAATACTTATCACCTTGGATAGTTTTCGCTTTGTAGTCTCAGTAATCACGTGAATCGTTCATGATCATAGATCACTTTGTTCAAATTGTTAGGTAAACAATTATTTATTTAATTTAATAACAAGTTAATAAATATTTACTATTTAATTTAAGTATAGAGAATTTAATTAATCTAAGTAATTAAAAAAAAAACTATTCAGATTAATGATATTTATTGTGGTGGCTTATACTAAGTTTTGAGATCCTTATTTAAATTTATAATATCTACTAAATTCACATATTTTTTATTAATAATGCTAACCCTAAACCTTAATATAACTGTGAAAAAAATCACAAAAAGCTTTCAAAATGTCTCTAATTTCATAATAAAGTAAGAGTATGTGAATATGACAATTGCTTTTCAGAACTTATGGTTCAATTATGGTCAGGAAACAAAGTTTTTATTCTATACGTACGTATGCATCATACAGTATTTCCTTTTTTATAACCTTCTTCTAAAATCATTAACTATTATTTATAGACTTTTTGTGAGTAAATTTGACGAATGGTATGTATAAGTATTTATAAGAGAATCAAGATGAAGATTAAAGTTAAATATTCACAATAGGTAAAAGATAGTGATTTAGTTGATTCTTCACAAATAGAAGATGAGATCACATTAAATTGACTTACTACCAGTAGTCGAACTTCTTCAAAATTTGGGGTAGTTTAC